GCTGTGGGGGGGGGGGGGGGGGGGGGGGGGGGGGGGGGGGCAGGATAATAGAACCAAACCCTCGCTAGCGATGTCAGGGGAGAAAATTATTATATCTAAGAGGGTACCAGGGGGACAACTGTACGTAAAATACGCCATTGCGAACGATGCATCTAAAAAAAAAGGTGCAAGTGCGTAGCTAATAATACCCAGCGCAACTTTCGATGCCACGACAATAGACGTGTTACAACAAATAAATGAAAATCAAAAGGGTGCGCTTAACAGAAAGGTTTGTATACTGGCATTGACGAAGTTGTTGCAGATTCTTTAATTATGGACAATATGACATCATTAAGGAGTTTCTTCATTTTATTAATAAGGGTGATCAGCTTATTCATTTCATGGTGTTTGACATGCTGGGTTGAAAATCAAGTTTCGGTAGCCGATGGCATACGATCATTATTTTGACCGAGATTAAATGCTTTTCTGAACTTGCACGAAAATGTGCAATTTATGTCAACATAACAAGACTTTCCCCATGCAAGTTCAACCTGCACGCCATGATGGACTGTTTAATTTAATCCAGGACGATTTGGTCGTGCAAGGTCAACTTGCACGATGAATTACCATGCAAGTTTAACTTTCACAGCATGGTCAACTTGCATGCAACATATACACCATTTGCTTCGCTCAAGCCAGTCCCGGCAAGCGCTTGCTTCCACCTTCCCCTAGGTTCAAAATCCGAGAGGGCTTGAAAGCAAGCCTCGCTCTGATTGGTCTGGAAGACCCAGGAACCAATTGGGGTGGTCGTGGTACTCCTACATTATAACATTCCAGAGACAAGGTTGATCACGGAAGCCGGTAATAAGGGCATCCGTGGTTTCCATGGAGAGTTGTGGCGCCATGTCACACAAAATTATGCCTAAATCATAATCTGCGGGTATACAGACTACCGGTAGAACTAATTCAAGGTCTGTAGGGATACAAAGATAATGAGAATAGTAGGTGTGAGTTTTCGCTCTTTTCGACTTCGTTTCACAGATGCTTGACAACTTTCGAGCAAGTCTTTGCTAGAGTCTACTGCTCCGTGTGCACCAGGGGGTGTCAAACTGGCGGCCCGCGGGGCCGGATCCGGTCCGCCAGTCCATTTTGTCCGGCCAGCGAAGTCCTCTTTAAGAGTGGTTACGAAAAATTACAGTAAATTTCAGCCTGTGCATTAAAGATTAGGTGTTAGGTTTTTATTTGGGGCAAATCACCCCTGAAGGCTTCCATCCGGCCCCAGCCTAATCGAGTTTGACACCCTCGGTGTACAGTACACACTCGCTTGTTCCTTGTAAGCAAGAACTTGCCTCGTGTATTGGGTAGTACTGGGTATAACTGCTAACTTAGCGACTGCATCTCCTTGAGTCAATTCCTGAGGCTCGCCTAGGCATTGAACATGACACGAACAGAATCATTCCCAACGCTTCGGGTATGATTCAAGGAGGAACTAAGGGATCGCTAAAAATTCGATTAATCGATTAAGTTTTTCAATCAATTGACAGCCCTACTTCTTAGGCATGTGAAAGCTCATGATTGCACACTTTATAGACCTATACAAAATTGGAACATGTAGCATCCTTCATGAATATGAAATACAGTATTAATAGTCTCAGTGGCTCTGTGACTCCTGTCAAGCCAATTTTCTTGATTTTTCCCAGGGAACCATCAAGCCTGACATTGTTTTCTTTGGTGACAACTTGCCAGAATCCTCCCACAGTCATCACCAAACTGCTGCAGAAGCTGACTTGCTGATTGTCATAGGAACTTCTCTTGAAGTAAACCTTCATGTTTGAATTGTAGAGTTCCATTTCACATGGGATGCTTCTTCTCATCAATTTCCTCATCTCATATTACAGGTTTATCCATTTGCTGGTATCGCAGATGAAGTGGCAAGTGACACTCCTGGACTCCTGTTAAATAAGGAAATTGTTGGTCCATTTGGCTCTCGGGAATCAGATGGCATCATAACAGGTGATATTGAGGCCAGTGTGCGCAGACTTGCCAAAGAATGTGGGTAACTTTCGACATAAAAACTAGATGGATACGGTTTCAGCTCCTCACGAACGAAGTAAAAATTATTCCCTCATTGTGATAATTTGGTGGAGGATGATGCATTCTGAATTTCGTCTCGATCTCTGAAATTTAGGGGTTTTTTCGTAACGATAACGGAGCTAGACCAAAACCAAAAAAAAGGAGACTGCCCCCCCCTCCCCCAACAGCCTCTTCCCTCCCCATGGAAGGACTCTGCTTGTCCAGATGTGAAAATCAGTCTCGGTGCATAGATGAGCTGTTCATTATTGTCTACAAGTGCAAAAGGTCTCCAGAAGCGTTGAAACTGGTCGTCATCACCGTCTTGCTTTAGGATCAAATTAAAGTCTTTCTTTATCTTCTTTACCAGTCTTCTCTGAAAAACACTCACATACTCTGGTCGAGAAGCCATATTTAAAGCTGTCATGTATGACTTGCATTAGGAACCTTTTGCAGTGTCCACAGGAAGTCTACTAGTTTCAAGGTTGTCTTTGAAAAGGAAGACCTTCCAGGAAAATAATGAAATAAGAACATTTTAATGTTAAGTCGCAGATCGCAGAAAAATTTGTAAAAGATATTTAGAAGCTTATCTTGCAAACAGGATAGGCCCGGACAAGTCAGGAACATTTGCATTGCTGTTCCTCCCTCCACATTGTGAACAGGAGGATGGGACTGAGGAATTCATTTTGTGCACTAATTCTGGGAATTGAACTTGTCGCCGAGAAAAAGAGATTCGACATAAATTATACGAGCAATACCCGAAAATGCCGGTAGCTTTAAGTTAATGTTTCCGTCACTCACAATCCTACTTGCAACCTATCCGCTCTGATTAGGTATTCCAATCGGAAAGATGTGACGTTGCCTGAATCCGACAGGATTTTAAAATGCATCTCATCGTAACCAAATGTCACTCTAGACGTGTCATTCATCTGTGGGAGCTGAGCTACTCGAACCTATTCCATATGGTTCCGATCACGTATTGTAGCAGGAAAATGGCGATTTTGAAATCACATAAGAATTAAGCAGTTACATAATACATAATAGGATTATAATTTACTATGTTACATTGCTAAAAATTATTACTTCTAGCTCCGATGCCGATTTCTTCTCGGAGTAATGTGATTTTGCGGCTAACCCAGCAACTTTAAAAAAGCATCACATCAGGGCCGGATTAAGGGGGGGGCAAGGGGGCTGCTGCCCCGGGTCCCACTCTTCTAAGGGGGCCCCCCCGAAGGAACTTAAAAACGTTAAGTATTTGCGTAAAGTGGGTGGGGCTAGCCCCAAGAATCTACTTGCCCCGGGCCTCGCTACTTCTTAATCCGGCCCTACATTACATAGTTGCGGTGAATCGCTCTGGTCGTGTCATAAATCCTTGGGAAATAAGCCACTCCATAGCATTCCATGTAGTTGCTGTAACGTCTTGAAGTATGAAAATGGCGATGTCGTGGAGGTTTGAACGACTCTCCAAATGCATCACATGGTATGCATCCCTGTTTCTGCGTAATTCTCCTTTTGCAGCCAATGCGCGAACCAATTCCGTGTAGATACGATCACTGATTTTAGCTGGATTCTTGCTCATTGGTGAATAATAAAAAGGTCATGATAGTCTGCGAGAATGCGAGCCAGGTCCATACGACTTCTATAACCCCCTAATTCCATTACCTGCTATTGCGAATGGTGCTGGAAGGGAAACGATAAAAACTGGGCTTCTCGCAGTATTGAATGGGTGGGGTATGGCCCCCTCCGACTCAGAAAAAGAACTCTCACGGGATTCAAGGCGCGTATGGGTGCGTCATTACAACGCCTGTAAGTATCGGGTAGGCAAAAGGAAAAAAACCTCTCCATTAAAGAACCGACGAATCACAACATGGTAGAGAGCCCTACACCATGAACATTGAGCAGCCTGCTTTTCCACGGTGTCATCTCCCTCGGCCCCCACTCTCGCCTAGCACCTCCCCTCTGGATTATATTCTCTCGAGTAACTGGTTTGAGGTCCAAGGCCACGCAATCTGTAACGATGAAACGAAACATAAGGAATGAAACGAGAAACATTCCACTAGCTTCAGAAGGTCATTGAAGACTCATCAGACGGGCACGGGAAGTCGAAAGGGAGGTCTCCATTTCCATGCATTCCCCTTCAAGAAGATAACGACCTTAGAGCCTCCAGGTTTGGACGTGCAGAGGCATTTCTATCCCTATGAATGACCCGGGACCGAGCCATGCGCTCGTGTACGATTTGCTTATCCCTCTACAGATCGATATTTTTTGTGGGAGCGTGTGCATCTTCTGTCTTGTTACTTGCAGGCACATTCTTCCCTTTCTTGCATCATCTTTTCTTCAGTTCCTGCTTATGTTTTGTTCGCATATCTCCTTCTCACATTATGCTAGTGTCTGGGGAATTTTTTTTCTTCACTTGTTTAGTCGTACCTTAAATGAAAAGATGTGCCTTATGGGAAATGTGGATTCATCTAATTTATTGTTCCTTAAGCACGCAGCTTTTCGGTACCCTTAATCCCCCATATAAAACTCAAGTGCGTCCCTTTCTGCATGCTTTCGCTATGCCATGCAATTTCATGAGAGACTCTTGCGCCACGCTAAATATTCTGCATTCGTCTACCTGAAGCCTACGAAGTCGCTCAGCCAAGGAGAGCCACTTCCAGCCACGTCGAGATTACAAACAGGAGATGCATAAGGAAGGAACCTAGCGGAAACCTGTCTTTCCCCTGCAGTCGCGATTAACCCTTCGAGGCGTATGTCCGTAAATAAACGTTTTAAAAAATCGTATACATTTCAATTTTAATTTTTGCGTGAACTACCCTTTTTGAGTTCGCTGTATTTTTTGCCTATCACGCACTGCAATCAACTATTATCTACTTCGTTATGATCAAAATCTTTCAATATACAGTATATTTCGTTGAGGGACCTCAATGGATATTTCTTTCAGAACATCCTAGGAGCGCGAAAATAACTCATCAAATGGTTAGCACGATGCATACGAGCCTTCGATACGATCACAGTCGAAAAAGGCCTGGTACATGTAGTACCAGTTGCACGATCGGGTGGTGTCAATTATCACTATACGGGGTGGCGCAAAAATGTGTCTCGTTGACGCTTAATGAAACCGTGTATAGAAATTTTATGTTCTCTCCCCCCCCCCCCCAGACTCTAAAAAAAATTAGTTTTCTGCAATTTTAAGGTAGGGATGTCAAACTCGATTAGACTATTATGTTCTCTCCCCCCCCCCCCAGACTCTAAAAAAAATTAGTTTTCTGCAATTTTAAGGTAGGGATGTCAAACTCGATTAGACTGGGAGCCGGATGGAAGCCTTATGGTTAGGGGCCACAGTGAAAATCTAACACCTAATCTTTAATGCAAACAGGCTGAAATTTGCAGTACTCTTTGGTAACCAACTGTCGAAGAGGACTTCGCGGGGCCGGATCCGGTCCCGAGGACGCCAGTTTGACACCCCTGGTTTCAGGTGTCACGGTCGTTTGAATGAATACGATATCTCATTTGACGCCGTAATTCCCTTCATGGCTGCATTCTTGGTACAAAGTTCGTGACAGTGCAGTGTCTAGGGGCCCAGCAGGGGACAGAAGGCCTTTCTTTGGAAAAGCGCACCCTTACGTCAGTGACATTTTCTTAATGTCAACTGCGATATGATGGCACTGCCCTGCCAAAAACATTGCAAGGAGGATGAAACCATAAAAATAAGTATGGTGGTGATGAACGAGACACATCTTTTGAGCATCGCCGAAACAGCTCCAGTACGATTTTTTGTTGAACAAATTCTCCTACTGAAGTTTCAATGATTTATTCGGCTCATAACAATAAGTAGTGATCACAAGAAGCTATCAATCTAGGGACAAAAACTTCAGAGGAAAAATGTTTTGAGTCTAAGCTATGATAATTATTACTAAACATAATATTAATATACATAAGCGTAGCGTGGATGGAAAAAGTGGGGACGGGGGTGGGGGGAGGCACGGAAACTCTGGGATACTGTTATGCATTTCTGGGTCTTTTCCTTATTCTTTTGGCTTTCTTTTCTTGAAAAGTGGGAGGGGGGGGGGGGGCACGTACCCCCCCCCCCAGGGGGGGGGGGGGGGGGGGGGGGGGCACGTACCCCCCCCCCCCTGGTGCTACGCCGCTGGTTATATATATTATTTTATTATATTATAATTATAATGATGTAATTATTATTATCATGTCGGTATTATTATTCTTATTAGTAGTAGTTCCACGTCATTCGCGCTGCACGGATCAGATTGAGGTGGAGAAACATCTCATTAATCGTATTTGCATGCAGGGAACATCCAAGCATTGTTTTGCGGGGGTAGTCTGTTCATGGAATGCACAACAGAAAACTAGAGATGTAGCCTTGAGTCTCGCTTGAACACAGGCTCAGAAGTAATCACACCGTTGAGCCCCCTATTTTCAACACACCAGGACATATAACATTATACAAGCATTTGCGGGAAGACGCAGAGGCATCAAAAGGATCCGCATGTGAGCTGGGAGCAATATAGAGGAGTAATTGTTGCTCTGTGTGCCTGGATCGTCTTCCGTCGCTCTTCGCCGCTTTCGATCAGGGGAGGGATGGGGGGGGGGGGGGGGGGGGGGGGGGGGGGGCGGGGNTATATACTGTATATAGAAAACTTGGAAAACTTGGAAAAGAAGCAAAATCGATTTCCATGGAACTCATTTCCTGAAATAAGTAGGTTCCAATTTGATTCATGTCTGATCTCTCATAATATTGCCTATCAGAAGCACACAATATCACTCATTTCATATAATTGTTGACATTAACTGCACAACACGAAACCTTTTTTTACATCACATTTTTCAGGAGGGAAGAAGGGCTTCGGGTTACTAATTGTAGTATTTACGAAGGCCAGTCAATGTATAAGTTGTATATGCCAATAACCATGAAGTGAATGCATCTTTATTCCTGTCTTTTTCATATCTCATAGGTGTTTTCATACAGCAAGCAGCCAGAATTTCATGAAATTTGATGAAGCTATTGAATTATTGTGATTATTTTTCAAAATGAACAGGGAATTGCCGCACGCTTGCCGCACTACCCATCACCTGAAACGTTGTCCAACAGTCTTCCCTCGGGTGATACTGAATTTCCTGGCAAGATTGGTTCTGCCAGCAAAAGAAAGTTGCTGATGGCTCGGATATTCGAAAATGAAGGGCTGCCATGAAGCGATTCCCGCCTTATTTTGAAAAGTCATTGTTAATTCAATAGCTTCACCAAATTTAATGAAAATTTTGCCTCCGTTTGCTATATGCAAACACCTTTCAAATATTAAAATGCCAGGAGGAACGAAACTTTTACTTCTGGGTTATTGCCACATACAACTTATTTGTTGGCTGACCCGCGTAACCACTTTTGCACATGCTCCGAGTCAGTGTTGGTGATCACTCGGCGCCGGAATGACGGAATGCGACTCGTTATCCCTGATGAACTCAAGACGTAGTGCGATACGATCAGTGAACCCAAACAAGGTGTGGGTGATACGATCTGTGAACCCCAACAGGAATTCGATCAACTTCATCATAACGTGAAGGGTATCCTTGAAGCGACATTCCACGCGTATGTTGCATGAGCTTGCGCACTCGGGGAAGTAGAAGGCTTGGCGGTCGGGCGGGGTCGTAGACAGATTGATGAGTTGGAAGGTTGAGATAAGGTAGGAATCTTTGGTCAATGGTTCAGGGTTCACTGCATGAGTACAGTTCAGTAGTGTATATCGAACGCCATAGGCCTTCTGTGCTTTGGTTAATTTTGAATTTAATTCATGGCTGCAACCTGTAACATGGATCAATTCTCAACCTTTGGGTTACCCCTTGCAATGACCTTAGTTAAGCCTAGGATCAGCATGAGTACCATAATGCTAAGGTAGATGGGTTTTTGTCCTCTTGAGCCCGTCACTTCATACGACTGCGACCCCTGCTTATGGCGTTTCGCATGCATGGGTGTCAGAGGCAAGTGATAAGTCAACTCTTGAACATGAAAAACCCTACTTTTAAAAATTCGATGTCAAATTATTGCCAATTTGCTTGACCTGGGGAAGCATAAGCCTATGAATAATTATAGCCTTGGTAGGTCTACATAGTACAGTAGGCCTAGGCCTAGGTGGATTAACATGGTTTTATTACCATGTGTCAGACATGTGACTGGGATATGATAAAAGCACTTTTGCACTTTGCATATCACTTTGGGTAAGCTGATGCCAGTTCACTGGCAACACGCCTGTAAATTTCAAGGATCCTTGGCTTGGTCTAGTTTGTTGTTGTCACGAGATGACCAATGCAACCTAGGTCTTCATAATTTAACCTGTCTTTTTTTTTGCAGATCATCCAACTCATACCACATATCAAGTAGTAAGGAGACGGCAAGACTACAAATTTCTGCATAGCATAGAATGAATATCAGTAGATGCTTGACTGGTTCATCCCGAGCTGCATTGAAGGCTTTCAGTTGCCATCTAGAAAACAGTCTTCCATATATCTCAGTTCGCCAGATCACCTCTCAGCAGGTTTTTGACAGAGAAGCAAAATATGGAGCACATAACTACAAGCCAATCCCAGTTGCTTTAGCCAAGGGCAAAGGTGAGTATTGGATGGAGTATCATAGATTGTTGAATGTGCCAGATTTATGGGCATTGACATAACAATAAACTGTAGAGTTTATTTTGATTTTATCCATATTTTCAATATTTGTTATTTTTTAATCTCATCATGGTTCATTCAGGAAGTTGTCATTTTTAATACCTAACAGCTTTGTTTCTACACCCCTAGTAGACCCAGAGACATTTTCATTATTGTGACCACTGTCTGGAAAAAAATTTTGCTTTTGAGCCTATGGTGATGCTTTAGAGAGGAGAACTTTGTGAGAAGACAATGGGGTGCATTGCCTATAACATCCTTAGTATGAGAGTTGGAGACACCTCACCTTCATTGTTAGATTATTTTCAACTTAACAAATCATCACATTTCTGTGATTTGGACCTATCATTTTTCTAAAGTCAAATGTAAAAGTTAATCTTTGGTGCTGCTGTGGCTATAGATTCTCTGGGCCATTTTTTTTCCCAAGAACACACTAATAATCTTATGAAAATTATTTCAATATTAAGAGCTCATGTCATGAGCAAGGAAAATATTCTACATATGTGGTAAACCTGTTGTGAACCCAGGCATAATGCAATGGGGCACCATCTTATTGAAACCACAAATCTTGTGGTTTGACCTCCATAATCGCAAGGTCTGGCTTGATGAAGCCTCCCAATATGTTCAAGTACACATCACCTATGATATACCTGTTGAAGAAGTGAGGACCAATGAGTGTGCCTGGCAAAATTCCACATCAGAGACAGAACCTGTTGACTTGAGGCATTTAAGCTGCTTGCACACTGCTGACAGTGTTGCATGAGTGTCCTCTCATTATGTGATCCCGTCACCGACACAAAAAACTAATCTCCACAGCCTCATCCTGTGTCAGTTCCATGGCTCAGTCAAATTGAAAAAGAGATGAATCAGAATCACTCTTGATTCCTGACATTTGACTCACACTGTATTTTATTAGGCACACACTTTGAATTTACAATTGCACCTGGTTTTGGAACCCAAAATATTGATTTTTCATTTTGGATTCTGAACTTAGATGAAAGTTTAGCTCCCAAGCCTCATACTGTCTTGTATTTTCTGTACATCTCTATTCAATTCAAGGTCATATTGTTTTCACAGGTGTGCATGTGTGGGATGTTGAAGGCAAGAAATATTATGACTTCCTGAGTGCATACTCTGCAGTTAATCAAGGCCACAGCCATCCAAAGATTGTTGCAGCTCTACAAAAACAGAGTGAAGTCTTGGCTATTACTTCCAGAGCTTTCTACAACAATGTCCTTGGAGAATATGAGGAGTACATCACAAAACTATTTGGATATGATAAGGTTCTCCCCATGAACACAGGTTCGTTCCACTGGCAAATGGTCTTACCAACTTTGCATTTGTTACCTCTGCATAGGAATGTTTCACATATGCATTCCCAGGTGTGGAGGCAGGAGAAACAGCTTGCAAATTGGCTAGAAGATGGGGTTATCATGTGAAGAAAATTCCTGAAAACAAAGCAAGGATTATGTTTGTGGAGGGCAATTTCTGGGGACGAACCATGTCTGCCATCTCATCTTCAACTGATCCAGAAAGCTATTCAGGATTTGGTCCATACATGCCTAACTTTGATATTGTCCCATATAATGATTTGGCCCATTTGGAAGTCAGTTTATCTTTTTGTTACCATTCTTTCATTTCTCCAGTCTGACCACCTGTGGAAGACAATTATGTCCTGTGATTTCCATTACAGAAAGCTTTGAAGGATCCAAATATCTGTGCATTTATGGTGGAACCCATTCAAGGGGAAGCAGGTGTGGTAGTACCAGATGAAGGCTACCTGAGAGGAGTTCGGCAACTATGCTCCAAATACAATGTTCTTCTCATTGCGGATGAAATTCAGACTGGCCTGGGAAGGACAGGAAAAATGCTGTGCGTGGATCATGAAGGTATCAGGCCAGATATATTGATCCTTGGCAAAGCTCTCAGTGGTGGTCTTTTTCCTGTGAGTAGATGGAGAATATTTCCTAAAACCATAATGATATTGGTGGGCCTTCAGGGTTTTGTCTTTCCTGATTTCAGGTATCAGCTGTGTTGGCAGATGATTCCATTATGCTGACAATCTTACCAGGACAGCATGGATCTACATATGGAGGAAATCCTTTGGGATGATTGGTGGGCCTTCAGGGTTTTGTCTTTCCTGATTTCAGGTATCAGCTGTGTTGGCAGATGATTCCATTATGCTGACAATCTTACCAGGACAGCATGGATCTACATATGGAGGAAATCCTTTGGGATGTAAGGTTGCCATTGCAGCACTAGAAGTAATTCAGGAGGAAAGACTTGCAGAAAATGCAGAAAAGTTGGGCAATCTGCTTATGAAAGAGCTCAATACTCTGCCTAAAGACATCATACATGCAGTACGGGGAAAGGGGTTACTTGCTGCCATCGTCATTGATAGCAGTAAGATTTAACACATTGTTTCTTTAGTGCCTAATAGCATATAGTTCTTATTTCTGACCCATTTTCATTTCTTCCACATGGTGCATAAAGAAACCACTAACCAATATTTATTTGTTTCTCAAGTACTACAGGCAATCATTGACTATAATCACACTTAGGATCTGGATGCTTCAGAAATGTTTTGTTAAATTTTATTGACCTACCTTTTGCAGAATACAATGCCTGGGATGTATGTCTGAAACTGCGAGACAATGGATTGTTGGCCAAACCCACACATGGAGACATAATTCGGTTTGCTCCTCCCCTGGTGATGACTGAAGAACAAATGCATGACTGTATCAAGATAATCAAGACAACCCTTCATTCCATCAAGAAATGAGTGTTATCACAACAGGTAACATTGTTAAGTTTTGGATGAATCAAGTTTTGTTGTACATACTATCTGTTCACCAGACATTTTGGAGTCAGACTTGTCTAATGACCCTTCCTCCTCTCTAGATAGAAATATGAAGTATATTCAAAGAGGTACTAGTCCAAAAGCACATACTTTATTTTAATGTAAGAAGCAAACAATTCTATGGTGTTTATTTGTCAATGTAATTTTCATCATTCATTGCACATTTTTTACATTTTAACCCCCCTCTCTTGAATGGTTTCTGCAGAGAACTTGTATAGGTATGTTTAGTTCAACAATCAATCCCAGAGTTGAACCACCTGAATGACTTGAGTGGAATAGAAGGGTTTTGTCTTAGGAGTTGGATTTATGGACAATTGTTATATGTCCTTTTCTTGAAAGAACGCATGCATAATCCCAGGTTCCAATTCCTGGCAGGAGCTTGTTAAAGCTGATTTCTAGTTAAGCCTTTTCTGTGATTGTTGTCCCTTTTTTCATGGTTATAAGGACACCCATTGCAATCCAAAAATACTACATGTATAATCTCACCTTGTTTTGTTGATGTTATCTTTGGTGCTTCCATCGTGACAATCTTAGTCAGGATTGCATCATTTCCTATAGAAAACAACATAATACTGTTCATAGTAATCCATTCACACATCCATCTGATCTGTGATTTGTCTTGAAATATGAGGTGAAACCTTCATGTGAAGCCTCACGGTCAGAATTTTGTGAGTAGTTCTCACAGAAACAGTGCAATGTTTACCTATTTCTTTTACTGAGTGATGAAACAAATTCCATAAAAATACTATTGATCCTCTAGGTCACATGTTGCTATCAGTGGCCACACACTGTATGACTGACTACAGCTACTTGTTTTCTACCATCTTTAAAAGCTTTCTCCTATCTTTTTATCCACAAACTTTATACTTTCCTCCCTTTCAGTGTCAAAAATTTGATGGTTCTCTGCTGAACTTATGGAAATGCTTCTGCTAGCAAATTGTTTGAGGAAGTTTAAATATGCAGCACTGTGATATTCCAAGTAGATGAACACACTAATGAATAAGTTTTTTTTATTATAATGGTTGCTATTTTATCAGTGCTTCTTGAAAATATCTCTTATGAAGATTATCTCTTATGATGATTGACTGGAGATAATAGATTTAGATAAAGCTGACAATCAGATATGCTAGGGTCATTGTGTTTTTAAAGGTGTCAAGTCTACTGCTTTTCAGGAGATTTCCCCTATAAATGATGTTAAGATGGTAGCTTTCTAGAAAAATTGAGCATGCATTTCCCTGCCATGATATTATCTTTGGAGGTATTTTGTAATGTAGCCAAGGAAGAATCCATCAAAGTCTTTTAGACTTACCAAAATTTTCATTATGGTGCTTCTCTGGGTTCATGTTATATGCACTTATTGCCTCATAAGTCATCTTATTGGATAACAAAGAGTCTTATTGAGGACTGTATTGCTTTCTTGTGACCCCACACATAACCCCATATCTGTATACACCTATCACCCAGACATTAACAATTTCAATTTTCAACAAAAGTATTTGTGATTAAAAATATATATTTCTGAAATAAGTTCATGGATGAAATGCATTTAGTCATGCTATTGTGTACTTCTCTTGTCAGTATGTACTGTGTTTTGGTATATTTTGAACACTTTTGATCAAATTTCAATGATATAAGTTGGATCTTATATAATGACTGAAAATGTTTGGCTATCTTGTATGTTGATAATCTTTGCTATTGGTATTCCCTGACTGATCTCCTTTAAAATTTATCTCTCATGATACAGGAATAGTCTGATAACCTATATATCATTCCTTCTTTTTAAATCAAGGGATTTAGGGTAACAAAACCTGTTCCTTGAAAGAGGGGACAGTCATTGGTTCACCTTTGTTCTAAGGTGGGTCTATATGCTGAAGTGTGAAGAATAATGTCCTACCTCAGTTCAATCTTTTCCTTGAATTTAGAGACTTGAGACATCTGGGTTTGAATCTGAAATGAGACATAGGTGAGAAAACTTTAGGGTAATAAATGGGCCTTTGATCAAAATTTGACTAGGAGAAATGATGTGCTATTTTCACTTGCAGTTCATGCTATTATCAGGAGACTTAGAAGCAGCCTCCCCACTTCGCACAAGTGCAATATGTTCCGGTGCCAAATGAGATTCTCCATTCATTCTGCAACATGTGACCTGACCTACTTTTTATCATTCAAATCTCTGTCTTCTTTTATTCTCCTGAGGTCTAATTTTATGGGCAATGTTATGAATTTTGCTGTCTTGGCAAAGTTAGCCTTCTTAGACTATCAGGAGATCTTGCATGTAGGTGCCAAATATACTCCATTTTTTCACTTCTTCAATCTCTTTGCCCTCTTCACTTTCATTGACTTTCAATGCATCTCTGTATAGTTTATGCATTCAAGGTGCTTGACATGCTGTGATGTCATCCGTTCATAGGATGAATGCTCTTCTATGTGCTCATTCAAAGTGAATGTCAAAGATTTCTTATGTGCAATATACAGGTGCTTGTGCATGATACAGAGTGGGTTTTTATTTTCTTGTAGAAGCAAGTTCTGGTTGATTGATTTCCCTAACACAGGAGCCCATGCCCTATCTTACCTTCTCCTTGTGTGTTGTACATCTCTAAACATTTCTAACCTGCTAACAAGGACCTGTTTGTACCCAGCAATCCATTCATCCTCATGAGCAATTTTATGACAGCATGAAGAAGAAGTAAAGCAGGATGACATCTGTGGGATATTTCTGGAATTTCAGTTTATACATTTTGGATCAACCTCATTGACTGGGATCATCAATAGGTGGAGCTCAAACAGTGTCTCTCTTCAATGGGTTTGTGTAAGTTCCTACAAAGTTGCTGTCACTGGATGAATGTCATTGTGGAAGTGCCATTTTATAGACTAAGAATGAGAATTCCCCCACCCCTTTTCTGTGCATTGCCTTGAAAGAAATACATGTTCCTGAAAAAAATTGATTGGATTTCCCCTGTACTCCCCCCCCCCCCAAACAACTGCTCTGAAGGGAGGACTTGTTTTTAATTTGCATAGGCACTACAAAGGAAGGGCACAGATCCAGGTTGATACTCAGCTTGGGTGGAAAGGTTCTTGTACTTCCTCCTCTACTCTGTGCAAAAACGACATAGAATAAATATTCATTCAGAAAGATCACTGAAAAAAAAGTTTCTTTAAAAGGCCAGCTGAGATTGTACAAGTTTGGTGAATGGAGTGACCCCAAGATCCAGAATGCAGTCCAGAAAATAGTTTCAGCTGTGCTGCAGTGTGGTGTGGAATGGTGACAAGGATTGCAAGAACTTTTGTTGCTGACCTCTCTAGATGTCTGTCTAGAGCATTGCACTGCCAGCACACTTGCAGACAAATTGCTTGGAAAACACAGGCTGGGAACATTCCATTATACTGTTCTCACGCTTTCCGTGGCCCTTGTCGTGTCTTTTCCTCTATTTCAAAGTCTGGCCCCACCCCACTTGGAAAGGCTGAGGCAAAACTTCAATTGGGTTTTACATGTAAAAAGTGTAATTCTCGAGTGGAAAAGTACATCTCTAAAGTGGCCTATGAAAAGGGAGTGGTCATTGTGAGGTGTCCTGGATGTGAGAACCTTCATTTGATAGCAGACAATTTAGGATGGTTTGCACATGTGCAAGGCCGGAATATAGAAGAAATCCTTGCTGCCAAGGGAGAGAAAGTTCAGCGCTTTGCTGCTTGTGATTCCAGTTTTGAAGTGGTTGCAGAACAGCTGAAACCAGAATCATGAATCTGCTAAGGAATTGGGCACCAAGGTCAAAACTCTTGAGTTGGCTTTGGTTCCTACCAGTAGGATTAAGTAAGTCTTTTTCACACTATTTTTGATCCATCTTCACATGATTTTTGTCAATGAACCCTTGGTCATGTTGCTTCTTAGACATGTGAAGACTTGTGATTGCATTCTTTATAGACCTATACAAAAATTTTATAGTTTGCTAACTTGTGTCTATAATCATTAAATGTGTAATAGCAACATTATGACAACAGATGGCATGCATAAATCTGAGTTCATCTCACCCTTTTCCATTTTTTATGCTGTAGGATGCCGTGTTTGTTGGGCACCATGTGTCGCATGCCTCTGCAGTCAGACTGCATTGAACTCCATGTCAGAAGTGGCAGATTACTTGTCAAAACGAGCCAAGAAGGTGCTTGTGTTAGCTGGTGCAGGCATCAGCACTCCCAGTGGCATCCCAGACTTCAGGTTTCTGCCCTTTGTGATGTTCATTAGTCATAAACCATTCTTTCAATTTCATTGAAGTTTTTTTTTCTTATTCCCATGTTATTGCCAGGTTTTTTTCCAATATGTCAATATGAATTGTATTGCTTTATTCTATTCATTGTAGAGTGAAACTTCAAATTCTCCCTTCTACAATATGGATGTTCTTTCACCTCTAAATAAGGAATTCAAATTTAAACATGGCATTGCTTGCTAGGTATTGAGCAGTTTGGTTTCATCTTTCAACAGGTCACCTAATACAGGGCTGTATGCTAATTTGGCCAAGTACAATCTTCCCTACCCAGAGGCAATATTTGACATACAATACTTCCACATGGACCCACGTCCCTTCTATCACCTTGCCCATGAACTGTACCCAGATGGCAGTCGTTTCCGCCCCAACATCTGCCATTACTTTATTAGACTATTACAGGAGAAGAACATTCTCTTGAAACTATACACACAAAACATTGATGGTCTGGAAAGAAGTAAGTTCATTTGGGATTTTGGATCCTTGTTGCAAAGATTTAATATCCTTGATGTAAACCAATGTGTTTTACTTTTCCCCTTCAAGTGGCTGGAATACTTCCAAGCAACCTCATAGAGGCACATGGAACATTTGCAACTGCCCATTGCATTCGTTGTGACAAGGAGTACTCTCAACATGATTTAGAACAAGCTGTCTTACAGAAACAAGTCCCAAAATGCAAAGAGCCTCAATGTCAAGTAAGTGTCACCCAGTAAAGAGAGTTTAACCTTTTGTGGTAGACCATTGGGCATGGCCTGACAATGTCCATACTGTTGCGAGAAGAATGGAGTGCAAAGGGTTAATGCATGATGTCTTGAGGTCACTACTTACCAGCTCATCTATCTATAGACCAGGGGCACTAAAACTGCACCCTGTGGGCCAGACCCAGCCCTCAAAAAGTTTCCTGGAGTAAGATTAGTTACATGCAGTAAGAGTAAGGATTCCTGGCCTGCAATAAGAAGCAAATATTTCCAGAGTTGAGTGCTAAAAATCCTTACTTCATGCTTCCTATTAATGTTCCCTCCAAATAACAAGATCTGGATATATAATTTTGTTGCTTGCTTTTGATCTCATTTATTCTTAATTTTAAGTGAAGATGAGTGGCCTTTGGGGAGGAGTTCAATGTTCATGCAACCCTGCAGAAATTTAACATCCTTCATGAGTAAATACTAAAGTGGTAATATTCTCTGTGGCTCTGTGACTGCTGCCATTAGCCAATTTTCTTGATTTTTCACAGGGAACCATCAAGCCTGACATTGTTTTCTTTGGTGAAAACCTGCCAGAATCCTTCCACAGTCATCCCCAAGATGCCGCAGAAGCTGACTTGCTGATTGTCATGGGAACTTCTCTTGAAGTAAACCTTCATGTTTGCATTGTAGAGTTCCATTTCACATTGGATGCTTCTCATCAATTTCCTCATCTCATATTACAGGTTTATCCATTTGCTGGTATCGCAGATGAAGTGGCAAGTGGCACTCCTAGAATCCTGTTAAATAAGGAAGTTGTTGGTTCATTTGGCTCTCGGGAATCAGATGGCATCATAACAGGTGATATCGAGGCCAGTGTGCGCAGACTCGCCAAAGAATGTGGGTGGCTTCATGAGTTGGATCAACTAGCAAAGCAGAGTGAGCATACATCATCTGGCCCTTCCACACGCTCATCATTGTGATCCCTTCATTGCCAGAGACTTGCCAATGCTTCCCTCTTTTCCATAGCTTATGGTGGTTTTTTTATGTATGGAAAGCCTTTTTCTCCAGGTTTCCTATCCCTGTATGCCAATATGGCAATATATAATGGGGTTAACGCCTTGATGGTCCTTGGGAAACAAGCAGTTGGACCACCAAGCCTGTAGTATTCATTCCTCCCCCAAGAAGGACACTAACTGAGGAACAAAGAAATTTATAAGTGGGACCATGGCCTCATGCAAAAAAATGCTTTCAGCTCTTCAGAGGCTCCATTTACTTCCTGTCAAAATATAAAATAGTTAATGAATGCCCCCCCCCCCCATTTTTCTCTTTCTGAGTGGCTTTTTGCTATGTAGCAGCCACTCACAAAACCCCTAAGGAAGCCTCATGAATGCTGTGATAATAGCTAGAAAGTTTCAGAATGACAGAATAGGAATTGCCCAGGCATCAGAAAAAGAGCAAAAGGTCCTGAAATTGTCATGGCACCATATGTTCATTTGAGAGCACTATTTTTTATGTACTTCTATAGATACAAAAAAAAGACAAATGTCTTTCAATCCATATATTTCTGCTCTCACAGAAGTCATTTTCATGAAACTTGCTGTAGTGCATGTAGTAATGTCGCAAAGTTTCCCCAAAGCAAGAAGTTATTCTGCATAATTATTATAATAAACTAAGTAATTATTCAAACATCTGTGAAATTAAAAATGAACAGAGAACTGGAGTCCCTTTGGAGCAACTAGACTCTCCTTGCCTCCTACTCTGATGTAAACCTAGGGAAGATGTGTATCACTGTTGAGCGAAACTTGTTTTGGCACTTATTGATTCATTGATCATTCTATGCAGAAAGATCAACAAAACCATCTGCTAGAGTGTATCAGCCCAAATAATGAATTTTTACCAAAGAGAAATTCAATGTGATCTGGATTATTTTGAAGCAGGGTGCAAAAGGTCCTCCACTTACAGCTCAAGCTCTTATCCATTTTGATGTTCTTTTCGTTTTTATAATTACTGTTTGGGTTGCCTTGCCCCTTCTAACATGAACTTAATTTTGAACTTCTGTTCCATATCCATCCGCTGTGAAAGTTTCAGGAAAATCGCTCCAATGGGAGTGGAGATGTAGATATTGAAATAGTGTGGTATTTTTTGCCATACCGAGAAGCATTTTCAGCCCAGCTTCTTTGACGTCACCCTTCAGGTGTGTCTTTGAGGAGTGATTTGTAGACAATATCTAGATTTTTGCTAGGTTTTGGAATTGTCATGAAACCATCGAGCTTTGAATGATAGTTTGGCCAAAGTTACGTTGATAGATGGTGTCTGCGTTCTGTCTGTATGGTGTATTGATTTCTGCTTCCACCTTTTGAAAAACCAATGGCATAGAAATGCCCAAGGCAGAAATTAATGAAAGCATGTCAATAGATCCCATGAATTTCATGCCTTTCATGAGATGTCTCTACTGTACTGAAAGGTGTGAATTGATGCTGTTCAGGTTGTTACCAGTGTTGTGCTTCCCTGGTTGTTGCGCATGCAAGATATTTGCGACATATTGTGTTTTACTGTTGGTGTATAGCCTTCACCTTCCGACCTCTTCAGAATAAAAGAGCGATGGGCAGTTACTGTGGAAAAACACCATCCGATACTGAGTCTATCAAATTTTTTAAAACAAATACGTTTTTTGAAGAAAACAACAGAAACGTGCAACGATTTTTAGATTTTATCGTATGTTCTGTAGTTTTCTATATTTTTAAAACCTTTCGGACCTGGGCATTTTGAATCTGAAAAGGGTCATGCAACATCTTTGTCCTGATGCCAAAAATGTTTAACTACAAGTCTTAAGTCTGTTCCGTTACATCTACATGGTTACCCCCGCAAAAATAATGACAATTGGCCTAATATTTGGCCAGACCTGTCCTGCATCGCATTCGTCAACTGCAACTCACGCAAATGGCCGTGCCCTTAGCGCATGGACCTAGGTCTCAATGTGTTTTGC